GTGTGTGTGTGTGTGTGTGTGTGTGTGTGTGTGTGTGTGTGTGTGTGTGTGTGTATGTGTGTGTGTGTGGTGTCAAAGAGCCAGCCATTGAGTTCATGATCTTTATCTGTTCTCCACACACATTTCTACAGGAAACACACCGTAGAAAATTCATTTAATTTTAACATGATGGGAATTGGGAGTATTTTGACTTTTGTGTGAGGTGTATGCATGTATGTGACTGTGCTATATTGTTCATGTGTGTGTAGAATATATACACACTGTTATCATGTATCTTTGTGTATCTTCCCCTAATATTTTGAGACAGGATCTCTCACTCAACCTGGAGTACATCAGCTGGCTAGACTAGCTGGTCAGAGAGCTTCGGGGATCCACCTGTCACCACCCTGACCCACCCACCACATCAATGTCTATATTGGTGTGTGGTATCTTCACTCACTTTCTGATGCTTGCATGATGAACACTGTATTCTCAGAGTCATCTTTCAGCCTTGCTATGTTTCTTTATGACACAACATTACTGACTTAAGATTTTGTCTATGAGCAAACTAGACCATTGATGATCCTTTCTTTGATGTTGGTTATATGGCTACATTTACTTTTTAATTCATATTTGCCTGATGTCAAATAATTTCTGCATCATCATGTGGTGTGTAGTCTTGTTACACCGAAGGCTTGTTTGAAATTGTTCTTACATTTTTAAAATATTTGAATCGTTCTACATCATGATTAGAGGTGATTCTCATATAGTGTGTGCAGTGCTGTAAAGACTCATTTTTCTGATGTTCATTTTGGCATTCCAGCTGTGTGCTCATCATCACGAGTGCAAGGGATCTTTGTCCTCTTGATTGTACTTGATGTGTTTGCATTGGTGTAAAATGGTGAATCTTTTACCACTTAGCTAGAATGTGGAATTTTTCATTCTTCCTTGTATATGTCAACATGCTGACAGTTTCATTCAGAGAAAAAAAAGAAACAATTCCAATTTTGCTCTCAGTAAAGTTCAAATAGCCTGGTTCAAATCATGCTTGTGACCTGTATTTTGTAGACTGTGAATATGATTGAATTTAAAGTGTGATTGTTATTTTCAATTATTTAAATGCATTTTCTACAACTGGATAGTTTATTAGTCTGTTTTAGGAAATCATCTGTGTGTCTGTTATGGTTTAAGTTTTTACTCTAGTTTTTCTCTTTTTGAGGATTTCACACATGAATACAATTAAAGATTATAATGTTTATTTTAAATTTATCTACACTGTTTATATCTGCATGTTCAGTTCCTCTTTCTTTCATTTTTTCAATATGTCTGTTTATCAGTATTCATTACTTCTCTGTGCTGCTGAGTTTTCAGTCAGTGTATTTTCCCAGAAACACCATTCAAAAATAGTTTTATAATACAGTCCATTTATTTGTCACTCTAAATGTAACAAGCCTGATACATGTTAGCATCCATTATGCTTCCAAGTGACACCATCTTGGGGTTCTTTCTCATATCACAGTTATGTATTGGTGTCATAGGGAACTCATCACTGTTCATTTTATATTTATATAGTTACTTCTTTAAGCCTCATTTTATGAAGTTGATAGATTCAGTTTTCATGCACCTGACAATAGTCAATATGCTGTTGATCATATTTACATTAATACCAGACATCATGGCCTCCTTTGGAGTACCCAATTTTCTGGATGATATTGGCTGTAAGGCAGTTTTGTTTTATACCAGAGTCTTCCGGGGTCTGTCCATCTGTACCACCTGTGTTGTAAGTACATTTCAAGTCATCACCATCATTCCTAGTAATTCTAAGTGGGCATGGCTTAAGCCTAAACTCTCTAAATGGGCTTTTTCTTCCTTACTTTGCTCCTGGATAATTAACCTGCTCATCTATGCAAATATGATTAAAGTGATAATAGCCAAAACCAATTCTTCTCATGCTGGCAATGGATATTTGCATGCTTACTGTCAAAACAAGAACTTTGGGAACCACAACTCAGGGCTATTTTTGAGTGTCATATTCATTCACGATCTCTTCTTTGTGGCCATCATGACTTGGGCCAGCTGCTACAAGATGACTTTCCTCTACAGACACCAGAAGAGAGCCCAGCATCTCCACAGCCTAAGCCTCTCCTCCCAGCCATCTCCTGAAAGCAAAGCCACTCACCACATCCTGTTTCTGGTGACCTGCTTTGTGTTCCTTTATTGGTTGAACAACTCCATCACCCTTTATGGATTTTATGCACAAACAAAAATTCCAAGGTTGGAGGGAATTAATGCAGTTTTATCAACATGCTACTCAACCATCTGCCCTTTCTTACTAATGAGGAATAATAAAATTATTTTGCAATTCACTTCTTCCATTTCTGTATTAAGAATGACCTATTTTCAAAGTGCACTCTGTGGCTGAATTGAAACTCACACATTCTCATGCTTATGAGATTATATAATATACTGATTGACAGAAGTATTTCCATGGGATAAAGAATTTGAATGTGTACCTTGAATACCTGATAGGGCCTTTGTCATAATTCAGATAATCTGTACACTACTAAATATCAGATAGTTAGCATTTTTCTTGAATATGACATCATGTACATAATTTTGATAAATTGAACATTTATTACCCACTCAAATTATGACACTGTAGACAAAATGAATTTTAAGTACTTGAAAAATAGCTTCTTTCTTGATTTTTTGCTATTAAATACTTCTAATAAAAAATGTAAATTACATTTGGAGCTTGGTTCATGTTTTTTATGGAGTATTTTGTTTTTAGGAACACCATTTTTTTTTTAAAGATCTATACACTGTTATTGTACTGTGTTTAAGGAGATCAAGTAATTATTTACAAAAATAATAATTATAATAATAACCAAACACTGTTATTTTAACATTAAGAAGGAGAGCAAAGAAGAGCAAAAGTTTCTTTTTTTTTTCATAAATATGCAAACTAGTGCACCGAAAACTTGGAAAGGGCCTTGGGAGGAGATGAGGCATGAAGGTTGGGATTGGGAGGGAATATGGAAGGGGCTACAGCTGGTATACAAAGCAAATAAAATGTAATTAATGTAAAAAATTAAAAATTCCATTTAAAAATTGCTTTCCATATTTATCTGCATTAACAACTTTTGTGCTGATTACAAATGACTTTAATCAAAACAGAAGTAGTTCTGTTTTTTTTGTTGTTTTTTATCTTTTTTGTAAATTTTTTGTTAATTACAGTTTATTCACTTTGTATCTCAGCTGTAGTCCCTTCCTTCATTTCCTTCCATTCCTACCCATCATCCTGCTTCTTCTCCTATGCCCCTGCTCCAGTCCACTGATAGGGGAGGTCCTCCTCCCTTTCCATCTGACCCTAGTCCATCAGGTCTCATCAGGACTGGATGCATTGTCTTTCTCTGTGGCCTGGTAAGACTGCTCCCACATCATGTGGAGGTGATCAAACAGCTAGCCATTGAGTTCATGTCAGAGACAGTCCTGTTCCCATTACTAGGAAAGCCTCTTGGACACTGAGCTGCCATAGGCTACATCTGTGCAGGGATTCTAGGTTAGCTCCATGCATGGTCCTTGTTTGGAGTATAAGGAAGACCTTTCAACAACTGAACAAATAAGTTTTCCCAACTTAATTATCCACTACCTCAAATACTGATGTGGGTGGGACTCTTTGGTGGTGTAACTGGCAGTATTCCAGTGTATTTCCTTGTACTACAGCTGACTTTGAGTCATGTATAATTTTTTTTCCTATTTTAATATGTTTTGAATCATTTTTAAATTTGATATAATTATAGCATTTCCCCTTCCTTTTCCTCCCTCCAGATCTTACAGTGTATTCCTCTTTTTGCTCACTTTCAAATTCATGGCATCTTTTTAAATTAATTCTTGTTATTTATGTGGGAAGCAAGGATCCTAAATCCACGAATATTACTTGCTCAGTCTTTATTAATTGTATGTATGTATTCAGGGATGACCATTTGTATTTAATTACCAATTGTGATCAATTGGTGTGCTCTTCCCTGGGGAAGACCATGTCTCTTGCCTTAGTTGCCTGTAGATCTTTGTGTAATGTCAAGGCCTCCTAAAGTGTTGTCTTCACGCTACGTCAAAAAAACAACTCTTTGCAATAGACAGAGATCTTTACAAAAAACAGCAACTAAACACAATAGAGAGTAGTGAAACCAGTCCCAATGGCTGTGTCAACAATACAGCTCCAGCCCCTAAAACTCGAGGAAAATTGATCATCTTGCCTCGGGTTATCTTTCTTCTTTATCTTCTTTAGGTGTGCAGATTTTAGAATGTTTATCCTATCTTATACAATCCTCACTAAGAAAGACAAATGGGATGGACATTGGAAGTAGGAGAAAACAATTAATAGGACAGGAGCCTACCATGGAGGGCTTCCGAAAGACTCTACCTAGCAGTGTATCTAAGCAGATGCTGAGACTCATAACCAAACCTTGGGCACAGTGCGGGAATCATATAAAAGAAAGGGGAGTTATTATGACCTGGAGAGGACAGGAGCTCCACAAAGACCAAATATATCAGGGCACAGGGGGCTTTTATGAGACTGTATCTCTAACCAAGGACCATGTATGAATATAACCTAGAACCCCTCCTTGGATGTAGCCCATGGTAACTCAGCATCCAAGTGGGTATCCTTGTAAGGAGAACAGGGAATATTTCTGACATGAACTCAATGGCTGACTCTTTGACCCCCCTCCCCCTACCAAGAGGGAGGAGCAGCCTTGTTCAGCCACAGAGGAGAACATTGCAGCCAGTCCTGAAGAAACCTGATAAGCTAGGGTCAGATGGAAGGGGAGGAGTATCTCCCCTATCAATGGACTTGGAAAGGGAGAGGGAGGAGATGAGGGAGGGAGGGTGGGTTTGGGAGGGAATGAGGGAGTGGGCTATGGCTGTGATACAAAGTTAATAAACTGTAACTAATATTAATGAAATAAAATAAAATAATAAAAAAGAATTGTAAAAAACTCAGGGAACATTGACAAACAGGGTGACAGAAAGATTTCAAGAGTCAGAGGGTCAGCTTGTCTGCTGTGTGATTCACCTAGTAGTGTCAGAAGCTAAACCAATAGATTATCATCAACATGAGCATTTAATTTTCTTATTTATCTATTAATTCATTTATTTATTTAGATTTTTGAGGCAGGGTTTCTCTATGGAGTCCTGGGTCTCCTGAAAGTCTCTGTATACAGAGGGGTCTCACACTCAGAGAGATTCACCTACCTCTGCCTTTCAAGTGTTAGGTTTAAGGTATGTGCCTTTAATAGAAGTATATCACTTTCTCACCTATTTTTTCTTCCTATACACTATTCCTACTGTCCTCCTGAAAAACCCTCCCTCTCACATCCTCCCAAACCCTCAAGTTGATATCCCCTTTTTCTCTTATCATTACTGTTACTTACACTTATTGAGTCTATATATGTGTATATGCCACAATATAAGCAAATACAATCTGCTGAATCTGTGTCTGTTGTTTGTGTGTATAATGTTTCAGACTTAACAACTCTGCATTGGGTAACCAATAAGGGAGTTCCTCACTCAGAGATGCTGATTATCTTTCTTCCAGCGATCATTAGTTGCATGTAATTCTTTGTCTAGGAGTGGTACCCCATGAGGCTTTTGCCCATCCATGTTAATGTCTCCATTGATATTAAAATTGTTCCACTCTTATTATATAGCCATTTCTAGGATGGATTATTTTACAGTAGACTTACTGATGTTTTGGGTCTTATAATCTTTTCTCCCCCTCTTCTGAAATGTTCCCTAAGCCATACACAGGAGCTGTGTTATGAATGTAGCCATAGGAGCAAGGCTCCCCACAGTCTGTTGATCTTTCAATTGTGACTAGTTGTGATTTTCTGGGATGGCCCCCATTGGATCTGAGCATTTAGAACTAAAAGACAAAGATGAGAGGGAATATGCATTTGTCTTTCTGGGTCTGGTCACCCATATTACTGTAATGAATCTAAATAAAACATTTCAACAGTCTGTCCCTGACTATAATCCTTTGATCTGTTGGAGTCATTTGGGGTGTTTCCTTACATCACCCAAGTTAAGGTCATCTGCAACCACTGTAAACTAAAGAGAACATTATGTTTTCAAATTTGAATTGGGTAGAGTGTCTGCCAAGAAAATCCTGGTACTATACTTACATCATCTCCACCTCTGCCTCTGGCCCTCCAGTTTCTCCCATTCCCCTTATTCTTTCTCATATTCATGACCCCTTCTTTTGTAATTATTACTGTGATATACATACATTTACACACATATTACCAATTACTTTCTTAATAACCAACTGAGTTATTGCTTGTATATATATATATATATATATATATATATATATATATATATATGTTTTTACAGTTGATTATTTAGGATTGGATAGCTCTCAGATGCTTTATCCATCGAGAAGACTGATTCTTCCTCTCTCATCAGTCATTGGGAACCTGTATCTCTTCATCTGAGGTGAGCCTTGTCAAATGTCCTCCAACCGTGCTGGCTGGTGTCATTATGAAGGTCTTGCTTAGACAGCCACATTGTTGAGAGTTCATGGATGATTCTTCCATGTCATACCTTGCAGGATCAGTTCTAGTCTTCTGCCTCTTACAATATTTCAGACCCCTCTTCCACACTGGTCACTGAGACTTAGGTAATAAGGGTTGTGTTGTAGAGCTACCAATCAAGCCAGGGCACCCCAAGGTCACCTAATCCCTGCATTTTGACATGATTTCTACAGGATTTCTACATTAGCCTCTGTTTTCTGAAAAACAATCTTCTTTAATAATGGGTGTGATCTCCTCCGTGGATTTTAATGTAAGTGTTTAAACTATAATTAGAAACTACATGGCTTATGAAAATCACAGATGTATTAAATAATGAAGTATGGCTCTGAACAGAGAGGTCACAAAAGTAGAAACAAAAATGGCTAAAAAATTTGCAAATCTGTTCATTATGCATAGAATGGTGGAATGAAAAGCTCAGTGGTTAAAAACATTGGATGTTCTTCCAGAGGTCCATTGTTCTTTTCCCAGCAATGACATAGTAACTCACAACTATCTATAAAACTTCATGTTTCTCTCTTCTGGCACACAGGTGTACATGCAGACAAAGCATTATAACATTTAAAAAATGGATTCATTTTCCTTAGTGATCAAAACTGTGCCAATTAATACTTCTTTCATGAAAGAAATTAAAGAAATTCTAAAATTCAATATAAATGAAGGCACAGCATAGCCAAACTTATGGGACACAATGAAAGCAATGTTAAAAGGAAAGTTCATAGCACTAAGTGTCTTCTTATAAAAATAGGAGAGATCTCATAGTAGCAATTTAAAAGCACACCTGAAAGTTCTAGCACAAAAAGAAGCAAACACACCCAAGAGGGGTAGA